AATGGCAAAACCATCATCTTAATTGCATCGACTGGGCCCAGCCATGACAACTCCAAATGTGTCCATTGAGCTAGTTCTTGATCTAGTTTATGCAACAATTTCAGATGATTCTCTTTGATGATAAACCCTGTAGATTTAGTTAATTGGATATCAACATAGGATGCAGATGTAGGATGCAAATCAAACTGGCATTTAATTTTTAGATTGTTTGTTTTGCTCTCATTACTTTTTAAAGGACACACAGCTGCAATTGCACAGCTGAGACCTAGGTGTAGATAGAGATTTTTCAGAATATGTTATAAACAATAGTTGTCTGCAAAGAAAGAGTTTTTGTTCTCCAAATATGAGTTTCAAGGAGGACAGACGAAAGCCTTGCTGGACACCTGTGAAGATATTAATGGTGTGGGAGATGAAATCTACATACATAAATTCCGTGAAGAGTAGGTATATAGTGCTATAATATGCCGCAAGAAAGGCACAGGGAAGAAAGGTCTTTCTAAAGTAACTCTCTGTCTCCAATGTATGGGATCAAATGCCTTTATGGCATCTAAGGCTAGTAAGGCACATGTTAATATTATTATTTATATAGCGCCAACAAATTCCACAGCGCTGTATAATGGGTGGACTAACAAACATGTAATTATAATCAGACGAGTTGGATGCACAGGAACAGAGGAGTTGCATACTAGAGGGAGTAGGGCAAAGTGACACAAAAGGTAGGGGTAGAAAAGTAGTTTGGTTGAATAGTATTAACCTGTAAGAAATCTAGGAAAAATCTAGTGTTATCCCCCACTTGGCACCCTGGGAAAAACCCTATTTGCTCTGCTGACACTAATTTCTGTAAAAGAGGACTCAATTATGTGCCCAGTAGCTCAGCATAATGCTTTGTGTCTGCGTTAAGCAGGAATATAGGATGAAAATTGTTGTACATGGTTGGTTTCCCTGGTTTCAGTATGTTTGATTCCAACATTTCCTTGGTAGTAGAGTATTTGATTTGGTTAAATAATTTGGTCAGAATAGTTGCAAACGTATGATAAAAATAATTGGAAAATGCATCTGAACCAGAAACTTTATATTTTCAGTTAATGGGCAACAAGTTTCATTACGTCTTCCACTGTAAAAGTAAGCTAAACTGAGATCATAGGGAGAGGTTTGAATGTCAATGTCAGACGGACAGTGTACGGACGGGTTAGCAAACAAATTATATAATCTATAATAAGTGGGCGGGACTGATTAACAGCCAAACTGTTTGCCAATGAAGTGTTATTGTGTTTTAATACAGGTATCCAAGCTCCATTCTACCCTTAGGCAATAATGTAGTCATTTATGAGCACATGGCCTTTCACCAGGCAAAAAAAGTTTGGTTGTTGATAAACACCTCCCCCATTTCCTTCCAGTGCAAGCCATCTTCCCCCAAGAGTTACTCTTGTTCTGTTAGATCCTAAGGGAATGGCTGAGGGAGATGTGTCCAACAAAAGGATGGGCTATCCTGTTAAAGGCCCTGTGAATATCACAAGCTCTCTCTTACCTTCTTATTCTCATCTGCTGATCAATGGAGTGGTAACTGCATCATGTGTCTATGCCTGTTTCGCTATGTTAACTTACTTTCAATTCAATCAATGACTAGTTTTGGTAATAACATATACTAACCTATTTCAAATGTATATGTATTGTTTATTGGTTTGATAGCCTCTCATAATAAATATTATTGAATTGCTGAAAGCAAGGACTGTGGTCTCTCCTTTTAGTTATTAATTTATTATTACTTCCATAATTTATTTTATAATCCATGTAATAGTTTGCTAATTCATCAACAATGTGTTGTGGATTTACCTGCTTATCCGTCTTTTGCAGAGGTGATGTGTGGTATTTTAATTTGCATATAGTTTTATTTTTATGTTGCTGCTAATAACTTTGCTGTTTCATCCCCTTGATTTAAATATTTAATTTTAGATTTCCTAAAATGGTGTTCTGTAATCTGCCATTTTACACGTGAAATATAGTAAAGTAGTGGTAGTACTAGTGTTAAGTTTTAACACTAGAAAAGGAGGCTTTGTTTTGTTTTTCCAATAAATCTAATTCTTGGAGGAATCAATCTAAACGTTCTCCACTTTAATAAACAGTCCCCTGAGTAAAACTGTATGAGCTAACTAAACATTATACAGAGAAGTAGCTCTAGAATTATTAACAGAAAATTAAACTGAAATGGCTGTACACTACTTTTTATGAGTGCTCGGGGAATCTAGAATGGATTTGTTTGGGTGCCATGTCCTACTGGCTCTAGTTGAAATAGGGCTTTAAATGTTATAATGAGTGGAGCATGCTCAGACCACAACATTTGGCCTAATGCCAATGACATTAGCAATGGTACAGTTGTTCACTAAGCAATAATCTATTCTGGTATAAGTAGAAAGTGGGTGTGAGAAAAATGTATAATCTTTCATTGATGGATAGAGGAATTGGCAAGTGTCAATAAGCTCTGGGTATGCAACAGTCTAGAAATGTACATACACAGAGTTTTAGTTTTATTAGGAACCGGGTACCTATTGACTAGTAGAATATCTAGGCCAGCATCTAATATACATAATATTGAAGGAACACTATAGGATCAGGAACATAAACATGTATTCCTAACCCTATAGTGGTAAAACCAAATCCTTTTGTGTTGGATGTTTAACCCTCAACATTCATAGATAGTATTTTACATTTTGTAGAAGTGGTGTAAAATCAGTTTAGGATTGGTTTGAGTTGTAAAGAAAATGTAAATTAAGATGTCTCTGGTAACTGTAACAGAATAGAAAAAGAAAAGCAAATTAAACAAAGAAACTATATACAAATTTCTCTGAACTGCAATGACTAGCACAATGTATAATGCCAATAAGATTTATGATAAAGCTGAACCAACCTTATGCATAACACAGAGGGAGAAAGTGACATGTCAAGCCAACATCAGAATAGCCACTCTAATTGCGTAAGAATAATTCAGTCATAACTTATATAAGATGTAATTAATTCCTATTCTGTATATTCCATTACTGTCTAAACATAAACATGTTTATATGCAACAGGATAAATTACTGTCTATTCAACCACCAGCCTTCAGAATGGAGCGTAATGGTGAATACTATAAAGACCTACTGTTAATCTGGAGCATTTTGAAACTATAAAAATGGGAGGGGAAAAAATATATAGTGTAAAACCATATGGCACTGGGATATGAAATAGAGTGGTATTGGTTAAACTCACATGGACATAAGCACTTGTTCAAAGTGTCACGGTGACCCTTATCGCATCACTTCCATCTTCGAATCCATCATCTTGCTTATGGGAAAAGTCTGTCTCTACAAACCGGAAGTGACAGAATAGGTCACATGCGTACGTCAGTTCCTATCCATCCAAAGCTGTTATTAATATCGTGGGATAGTGCTTCTTAGTTATGGGCACCAGAGTCTTATATGTAATATTGGCTGTATTATGGATACCATTATATCAATAATTCATACAGACTCACATACATAAATACATTTCCATATCTGTACCAATACAGACACATAAAGGAAAAATAAAAAAAGAAGAATTAAAACAAATTAGTAATATTTATAAACATAATACAGCATACTTTTTGACTAGAGAGGATAATCTTCACTTTGGATTATTTCCCAAATATACAAATCAAGTCTCCATATAACCTATACAATCCATATCAAAAAATATAAAATTGAAAGAAGGTATAAAGTATAGAAAAAATAAATTGGTAGCATTTATCATCTCTAGACTTGATGCAATTGACGTTAAATGATCAGTTAACATCTTATCCATATGATTTAAAATAGTTAATAACCTGTCAAAATAAAAATACACTCTATAAAAAATGACATTTTAAAGTCACAATTAAGACCAAATGGTATCAAATAATTTAAGGTGAAGATCCATTTCATCTCTTGTTTACCCATTTTTAAAAATAAAAATCCCCCGGATACCCCCTTCATTGTGTCCCCGCTTTCTGGAAGTCTATAAATTGGAGTTATTTTGGATCACTATTATGTTTGTTTTATAAATGTTATGAGAGACTATGTTTTTCAAACCCATTAATAATGCTCTGTATATGTTCTTGTCACATTAAGAGCTCTAGCGGTTCTGACTATATAACCCAGACCACACATACATAAAATCAAATATAATTAGAGTTGAGTGGACACCTGGATGTTCGGGTTCGCTGGGTTCGGACGAACATCAGCAAAAAGTTTGAGTACGGCCTCGAACTTGATCCTGAACCCGAACCCCATTGAAGTCAATGAGAACTGAACTTTTGGGCACTAAAATGGCTCTAAAAAAGTCCTGGAAAGGGCTAGAGGGCTGCAAAAGGAAGTAAAATGGGGGTAAGAGTAGGACAAGTGCCCTGCAAACAATTGGGGTAGCCCCCAAAATATTGGGACATATAAAAAAAGAAAACAAAGAATAAGTGCACTTGAGTATAACAATGGCTGGGTGAGGTCAAATGTCTATTCTGCGCAATGCACAGACAAGTCTGGTGGGATCCATTTTAATAAACGTGAGCTTGTCCACGTTGGGTGTGGACAGGCTTGTCTGCGCTTGTCTGTGATAACGCCCCCTGTAGTGCTAAACACACATTCAGACAATACACTGGCTGCAGGGCAGGCCAGCACCTCAAAAGCATAAAGGGTAAGTTCAGGCCATGTGCCCAATTTGGAGACCCAGAAGTTGAATGGGGCAGACCCATCAGTCAGTGCGTGTAGGCGTGTGCACACGTAGTGTTCCACCATGTTGCTAAGACGTTCCATATCCGCTGGTGGTGCTGGTTGTTGTGGCGTGTTGACAAAGCTTTTCCACATTTCAGCCATGCTAACCCTGCCTTCTGAGGTGCTGGCGGTGCCCCAGCTGCATTGGCGACCTCTTCCTCCTCTTCCGCCTTCGCCTTGTGCTTCCACTCAGCCCCCAGTGTTGGGAATGCCCTCAGCAGTGCGTCAACCAGTGTGCGCTTGTAGTCATGCATCTTCCGATCACACTCCAGTACATGGAATTAAGGACGGCACGTTGTCCTAGTAATGGGGATCCAGCAGGGTGGCCACCCAGTAATCAGCACATTAGAATGTGGCCAATGTGGCAGTCGTTGCACAGGCACTTTGGTGACTTTAGATAACCTCGGGCCGATCGCATTCGAATGTCTGCCCTATCAACTTTCGATGGTACCCTCTGCGCCTACCATGGTGGCCATGGGTAACGGGGAATCAGGGTTCGATTCTGGAGAGGGAGCCTGAGAAATGGCTACCACATCCAAGGAAGGCAGCAGGAACGTAAATTACCCACTCCCGACACAGGGAGGTAGTGACGAAAAATAACAATACAGGACTCTTTTGAGGCCCTGTAATTGGAATGAGTACACTTTAAATCCTTTAACGAGGATCTACTGGCGGGCAAGTCTGGTGCAGAGCGACTGACCAGTGCGTGCTGATATATCTGGGTAGTTTTTCAGGAATTTCTGCACCACCAAATTCAGCACATGCGCCAGGCAAGGGATGTGCGTCAAACCGGGTAGGCCCAGAGCTGCTACGATATTCCTCACATTATCACACACCATCAGGCTGGGCTTGAGGCTCAGTGACAACAACCACTCATCGGTCTGTTGTTCCATGCCCGTCCACAGCTCCCACGCGGTGTGGGGTTTTTCCTCCAAACATATTAGTTTTAAAACAGCCTGCTGTCATTTCCCTCTGGCTGTGCTTAAGTTGCTGGTGAAGGTGTTACGCTGACCAGATAAGGAGGTGGTAGAGTAGAGGAGGAGGAAGCAGAGTAGGAGGAGGTGGCAACAGGAGGCAAAGAAAAATGCCCTGCAATCCTTGGTGGCGGAAGGACATGCACCAAACTGCTATCCGCCTCTGGCCCAGCCACCACTACGTTTGCCCAGTGTGCAATTAGGGAGATATAGCGTCCCTGCCCGTGCTTACTGGTCCACGTATTAGTGGTTATGTGGACCTTGCCACTGATGATGTTGCGCAGTGCACACCTGATTTTGTCCACCAATTGGTTGTGCAGGGAAGGTATGGCTTGACTGGAAAAGTAGTGGTGGCTGGGAACCACGTACTGTGGGACATCCACCGCTGATACCGGAGAAACTGACGGAAGCAAAGCACAGAGAGATGGACACAGGTTTCTTCAGGAAGGAAGAGATTCTTTATTGGATCACCGATCGGGACTCAGAGGGACTAATGTCACCAAAAATACAGCAAGTTCTGAGCCCTGAACAATAGTGCAGGCTCCCTATATAGGCACATAACTCCTCCCATATTAAGCTCCACCCGCACATTCTCTTGACCAATCATTACAAATAAGAATTAACTTCCTGCTTGACCGCATGGCTTGTCCAGCACAATGGAGGAGGGGAATACTACATCCTGTATTCTTGCACATGCTCCGTACACTACTGATCGTATCTTGCCTCGTGCAACCAACTGATCGATACGTCAGCATATGCACGTACACATGCCACGTGGTAATCTCGGCCTACTAAATTTATTTTTACCGAGATTCCACCACATTCCCCCCTTTGATGCCTCTTGATATTTTACAATTACTTGAGGCATCACTTAACCTTGGTTTGCATACACCACAAGTTACCTTTGAACCAGACCAGACTTATCCTATGATGTGAATCTTCAACACTCGTCTTCCTGCATTGGTTCTCCCTGATCTAGAGCCTTATATTTATAAATTGCCATTATCTGTGCAGCAGCCTTCCTCTCTGCTATATTTTCTATCAGGCTTTGCACAGACCTAACTACTAAGGGTATAAGACACGGCAGGAGTAGACACAACATTAAAATCAGTAGGACTCCACCTACCACTGCCTTAAGCCCTCCAAACCACTCATACCAGCTACCAAACCAACTACTTGGATTGTACCCTTTCCATACCTGAGTAGGCACATGCGCTAGTTTAACCATATGGCTAGTAAGCTCAGCTATTGCTTGCCCTTCGTCATCTATTTGAAGACAGCAATTGCTCAGGTTAAACTTCCCACATACACCTCCCTCTACTGCCAAAAGATAATCCAAGGCTAATCTATTTTGGTAAACTGCTGTCCTCATCCTGGTATTATGCTTCGCTAGAAGATTGAGCGCTTGTGATGTCTCGTTAGTAATGATCTCAACCACCGCCTGTAACCTTATAATGCGGTTGAGCATATAAATAGGGGTTCTATAACCAAAGGTACCATCCTCTGCCCACGTGGCTGGCCCATAATAATCTATAATACGCTGGGGAGGCCATTCATTATCTTCCCAGGCACCTATCTCTATGGGTCCCCTTTTCTTCCTATGATTCACATCATACACTTTAACACCTAAAGTCTCACCTGTTTCAATAGGCAACAAGAAGAAGGATGGTTTCAACATACCCAACACACATGCCCCTTCCCAGTCCTGTGGTAACTCCGAATAGGCCTTCTTACCACAGATCCAGTACAAATTCGCTGGGGCTCTCCAGTTAGATGTGATGGATAGATCAAACCATATGTCCTTTAAATTGGCATATCTTGCAAACGGGTTAGATGGTTCTGAGACATTTGAAGCCGACCACCAAGTTGTATTCTTTGTATCATCATCATAAACTTTTTGCCCTAGACAAGTTAATTCTCCTACAGAAGTATTATACATCATTCCTTTCCTCGCTATGCAAACATAACCTATGATGGAGGTCTTCAATCTCCACTCAGATTTACCTCTAACACTCATATGATAGTCGGCTTGTGTAGATATTAATTGGTCAACTACCTCAGAACCGGACATTACCTCCTTTGCTTCCCAAGGCCATTGGTCTCCCATGTTAGTACCTCCACACACATAGCAGTTGGTAACATTAAGACTACCGGCAATACTCTCGGCTAAATCAATGAACAAGTTTTTAGCATTATGGGGAATCTTATTATCTATGCTCATCTCTTCATAAAAGGAATGGTATACTTGATGAGTTTGGGAGGTTACCGTATCAGTCTCTATCCCTATAAACAATATTGTCCCAGGGTCTAAACCCGTCCCATATATTTGAAACCCAAATAAATTACCATATTTATCTAAGAACTTGTCAGGGTTATTTATAAGTATATGGATTGGATTGCATTCCATAGACTTACAATATGGATCAACAGGCAACTTAGTCACAATCATGTCCTTGTCTACTGTCTGTCCCCAAGTCGCCCACCCCACACAAGACCAATATGGGTTATAATCTCTATTTGGGCATCTTGGACTTACATATTTATTTTTTACTACTGGGACAAATATATTTATCGTTAGACCCATACGTCCTCTCCCATCTAAGATCCCCACATACATTCCACTGCTTTCTACCACTTGATATTGCTTTACACGCATCAAATAGCAGAGCACCTGAAGAATATACGGATTCTAATACCGTCTTATTAATTAGGGTCCCCTGAGGATCTCCATTTCTGAGAGTCAACCAAATTGTACGTGGTTGATACTCAGGACTGAAGCACTTAGGTTCTCCTACTCCTAAATGACACACACTATATTCTATATTTAAGTATCTACATCTTGATACATCTCCTTACACTCATATTGCGAATGCCAAATTAGGGTCTGGGATATATGGTTACCTGTTCTTGTAGTCTTAATGCATACCTCACAGCTAGGAGTGTTGGTACCTCTACCTTCCTGAATACAAAAATACACATAAATAAACATTATTAAAAATACATCTTTCGTCGTCATCCTCAGTCTTCGTCCGTGTGAAGGCACCTCAGCTTCCAGGATGTAAGGACTGCAGGGAATGGAGTTCTGCTCGCCTTCACAGGGGTCCCCTCAAGACTTTCCCTGACTTATACACTCGTTGGTGAGTGGACAGGCTTTATTATGGCCTTCTCACTCACTTACCAAGTCTCTGAAACAATAAAATTTGTAATCTACAAGGTTCCTAGTCACTCCGACTGAGTCGTGCGTTTTAACCGGATCTTGCAGGGATTCTCTGGATTTGCTGTAACTTGCCAGGAATCGGCTGCTGCTAGTTTAACCCTGGAGTGATGTATCCACGGAGTCACTTCGGCTACTTTTATCGCTGTAGGGGTAGACAAAAGAACAACATAAGGACCTCTCCACTTGGGCCCTAACGGCACATTATTCCACTCTTTAATCCACACTTGGTCGCCTGGGTGGTAACTATGAATTGGGGGATAAATATTCACAGGTAATCTATCTTGTACCTATTTCTGTACCTCCTCCATAGTCTTACCCAACTCTACAACCTGCTGCCGGGTAATTCCTTCTCCCAACTGACTCAAATCCCCCCTTAAGTTACCAAGCACGGGAGGTGGTCGCCCGTACATGATTTCAAAAGGAGAGAGGCCCATCCTTCTGGTAGGTGTACTACGGATTCGCAATAGAGCTATGGGCAAGAGAACGTTCCACTTAAGTTGGGTTTCCTGACACATTTTAGCCAACTGATTCATAATAGTTCTATTCATTCTCTCTACCTTACCAGAACTCTGGGGTCTATATGCCGTATGAAGCCTCCACTTTATACCAAGCATATGAGTCAGCTGTTGTAGGCACTGATGAACAAAAGCTGGACCATTGTCCGATCCTATAGAGCAGGGTAGTCCATATCGGGGTATTATTTCTCGTAGCAGGAATCTCACGACTTCTCCTGCTTTCTCTGTACGAGTAGGACATGCTTCTACCCAGCCTGAATAGGTGCACACCACCACCAGAAGGTAGCGATGTCCACCCGATTTAGGCATCACTGTATAGTCAATTTGTAAATCGGACATGGGAAGTCCCCCATAAACTGGACTCCTGGTGGCTTTACTGGTCCTTGTCTTGCATTATTTTTAGCACACGTTACACATCTACGTACAATGGCCTGAGTCAAGTTGGACAATCTTGGTATGTAGAAATATTTTCTGAGAGATTCTTCTGTACTGTCTCTCCCAGAATGTGTCCCGTTATGATAGTTTTGGACAATTTCTA